AGGGACAATGTGGAGTCCCTTTAATTGAAGTATTTGATATGAGAAAGACCACATATCACTCTGCTAATGCTGGCGTAGTCATATATAATGTCTATCTCATTTCCTGGTGATCTTTTCTTTTTTTCATTATGTGAGTGAAAAAAGGGGATTTAAAATTCTACAAATTAAGATGTTAGCTCGTGTAAATGGAAGAATGTTTTGTTAAAACGAGACTGAAAAAAAATGAATTTCACTTTAAATCGGTGCTTTATTTCAAAGGACAATTAGAAATGAAATGCTTGTTATGATCTAGATCATGGTTCGATGTATTGAGTGCAAAGAGGGCCATAATCCTTTTTAAAATTAATGTGGTTATGACGTGTGCCTGTGTTAGCAAGTTGTTGTGTTTTTAAACTAAAATTATCTTTCGTGAGCTTTAACCGTGTCCCAGTTAACAAAAAAAGAATGAAACTTTATTTTTTAAACGAGATACCACTGGAGCCTTTCTTCCCAGATGGCCCGCTCAGTGTGGGGATGCACATTTAAATAATTGCAGTGCTTAGGAGGAACTGTGCCCTATTCTCTCCGGGTCTCTGTGAGCTGCTTCCAGGCTCAGCCAGCGCTCAGGATGGCTGCTGTGGGCCTGTATTTATAAACGGTATTTTGCTACATGTGCTCAAAATTCAGATTCATAGAAACTCAGTCGAAGGCCAAAGCATGATGAGTCAGGCATAATGAATCTTATGGACCTATGGCTGGAATAGTCGATCATTCCAGAATGCTTACTTATGGGCCCTTAAGCAGTGTTCAATTGAGATTAAGGGTAGAAACGGAACCCTTTCAAAATGCGGCATTTTAAAATTATGTCTTTTCATCTCCACTAAAAAAATGAAGACTTCAGGGCCAGACAGTTTCACTATTAGATTTCTTCAGGGGACAGTTAATCTAGGACAGTAGAAGCTAGGGTGCGAACAAGGTACAATGTTATCCACCTCGTTTAATGATTAAGCTAAACTGTGACTCTAACACCCTCAGAGTGCCCAGTATGAGCTAATGTCTTCATCACTCAGTTTGTAAAACCCTAATCTTCTGAGAACTTTGGCAGATATGTTCGGTTAAACCTATAAAAATTCCACTCTCCGAGTTGTGATGAATATTAACTCATTAAAAACATCAGAGAAGTCTTTGCTAAAGAAAATATGCTTAACCCAGAGTTGCCAAATGGATTCGAGTGCAGAACTTTGTGTCTGGTTAGCAGCTTTGGCCAAATTGGCTTTTCACCGAACATGTATTGAGACAGAGAACTACAGACCGGGATGCCGTTAAAAAGATGGATATAAAAATCCTACAGTAATAAACTGCCAACTAAAATCTAAAGTGCATTTTCATTAAAAAAACAAAACAAACAGCAAGCAAGCAAAAGAGTACTTACTAAATAGTAATTACCGCAAAGGTAGGTAGGAGTGGGTCGATAATACTTTCTCATTTATATATTTATTTGTCTTTGTAATAAGTGCATCTTACTATTTTTCTTTGGAATTGAAAATATTGGGAGTGTAACAAAATTACCACCAAGTAGGGTTTATCCACAGAGTGTAAGAATGGCTTATTATGGGTATATGTGTATTAATAAAATACATTATTGCAATGGATTGCACCCGCATCCCTTAGGAATGACACACACCCAAAATGAAATAATTCTCACTCCTTTCCACCAGCAAAAGTGTCCTAATATTCGTGACCTCGCGTCATTATTATTTGTTCCGTTTATCCTCGACATCTACAGGTCATATTGGAAGATCAACAAATATTGGTTGAAAACCAAGTAGAACCTTATACAGTACCTCTCATGAGCTGTATTTGCACATTATGGCTCTATTCATATAGTCAACCTCTTATCCGTTCTGATTGTATGAGACGGTTTAACATTCCCAGGGACCTTGCTCTCTGTTTCTAAGTATCCGTTGGTGATGGTCAAGGTCAGAGTGCACCCTGAAGAATGTACTGGACTCCCTGGCATTTTATCCTCTGGGCTGCATAGCTGAAATGCATGTCCCCGCTGCTGTAGGAAGACTTGCCAGAGTACCCGGCTGTCCAGTCCCTAAAGGTTGTTTTTTTATTTCTGTGACAGTGATCTTTAAGACAAACATTGTCACATGGGTATTGTTACGTTAAGGCAGAAATGGCTTTGTGAATTAGTTTTGGAAGTGCGCTGCAAGTTCAATATTGTGAGTATCAACCACAATTATGCACCAAAAAACAAAGCAAAACACATAAGTTGGTGCATGGCAGGAATCCCCCAAAATGCACAGAATATCTAAAAAAGTAGATATATTTAATTGTGATAGAACAAAAAATTAAATACCTATTTAAACAGAAGTATGAGTGTATGTGAAAAAATAATACACAAAGAGAAAATGTTATTGGGATCCCTCCCCTAATATTAGTATTTTAGCATTTAAATTCAACTCTTACTATGGAGTGATATACTTAGCAGTTGCGTAGGTCCGTGAGCTACATAAACCATAAATACATGCATGTGTGATACACATATATGCAGTCTTTTATGTAATTAGCATGGACATTGTCTCATTCTAGCAATCTCAGCGATAAGCAGCTCTTTGAAAAAACAAGTCATTGATCTGCTATTGACATTTGGGCCTGGAAATAGAACTTAACTGAGAATTAGCTGTCAGTTCCCGTAAGTGACGGGCGTGAACCCTGAAAAGGTCGCTCTGGTCAGCATGTCGGGGCTGTGTAAACAGCTGAAGCTCTGAGTTTACACTGCATGTGGCCTGAGCCCCCAGTGCCGGCCTGTATTCCCACTCCCACCCCCGTGGAGACGCAGGTTTGAGCAAAGTCTAGACGGGATGACAGTGACGCATTAACCCGGGGCTGGTTTTCTGCCGGTAAAAGCCGTTAGTAAACCCACAGCCAAGAGGAATCCACCTGCAGTGTCCTCTTTGCTGCTCTTTCTCCCAAGTCCCCGGGTCTGCAGTCAAGTTGAAAACAAAGGCTTTGTAATATTTTTTTAATGTAATACTTTTGTGTCGATATTCGATCCTTAGATTTGCCTCATTGTTTTGTGTGCTTATCTATCTATCTATCTATCTATCTATCTATCTATCTATCTATCTATCTATCTATCTATCTATCTATCTATCTATCTATCTATCTACCTATCTATGCAGGGGCTGGAATATAAAGAACAAAATTGCCACCGAATTCAAAGAGTGTTATTATGTGCCAGCACTTTGCTGCATTAGCGCATGAGAACCAAATGGAGAAGTTAATATTACCTTTAATTTTCAGTTGAGAAGCAGGAAGTTTAAAAAGCTTAAGTAATTGACCCAAGTTAGCATTAATCAGGTTATAAGTTAAATGCTTGGTTATTCATTTATGATATTATTAGTAGTATTATAAAAGGGAGGTCAAAATCATTCACTTCAGGTATAGACTGGAGTTCACATGCAGTACAATGCTTGGCCCTAATAAACCATCAGGAAATGTATTTGTATGAATAAATATGACTTTTACGATATTACATTACTCATTATGACATATTTAAGTAAATTTTTTAACACCTATTGGTTTTAAATCAAACATTTTTTCTTATTTGAAATTTGCAGGTATATTTACAATAGAGGAACTATAGGAAAATTATATTTACTTGCCATGTTTCATTTTAAAGTCAACCACTACCAATGAATCTGAGTAACTTTATGCCTATTAACTAAACAAAGTGTTACATAGAGCATGGTGTGATACTGGTTTATTTTTTTCTATCTTAAATTGCAGATTATATTAATTTCAAATGTTTGGGCATAGGATATAGGATAATCAACAAAAATATTGTTATAATTAGATATACACTAAAACCAAGTATTTTAAGTAAGCTTTAAAAAATATGTTACTGCCTAGTCACAAAACAATATTAAATCCCACTAGTATAAGATTTAAAGGTAAGACAGTGTTTACTAATATCCACCAGTTATGATTATTTAAATTCTACATGACTAAGTTCTTCTGCTACTTTCAATTCAGGATATAATTTAAATAGTTGAACTTGGTGTTTGACTGAAAAAAAAAAGTGTTTCTGTTTAAGACAAGACAAAATAGGATATTTTGATTATGAACGTGCTCCTGTATGTGAGCCTTTCTGGGATTTAGTTTATCAGAAAATCTGTGCACATCATTAAAACCACTTCTGGGTACAAATACAAAATAGTAATTAGCTGCAATTCATCAATTATGGTCAGGAAGAAGAGGCGGTTTTCATTTAATAATGACTCCAAGGACATCTGGGGATGGAAAAGATAGCGATCTATATTAAAAATGGATAATCATCATGGAATAGCTTCAGACTTTGTATGTCATGTGGTAGCATCCTCAGTTCTAGGAAAAATAGCTCATACACAAGTGAGTAATGTTTATGCATGATGCAAATCAAGGATATTTCATTGCTACAACTGTCTTAGCCTCAAGAATAAGGTGATGGAGTAGCAATAAACTATGAATCTACCTATCCTGAAGACATACTTTTTTTTTAAAGGCTGCTGATCTGTCCTACAAAGACCTTTTTTGGGGGGTGTTTTTTAAAAATATATTTGTATTGATTTCAGAGAGGAAGGGAGAGGGACAGATAGAAACATCAGTGATGAGAGAGAATCAGTGATCGGCTGCCTCCTGCACGCCCCACACTGGGGATCGAGCCTGCAACCCGGGCATGTGCCCTGACCGGGAATCTAACCATGACCTCCTGGTTCATAGACTGATGCTCAACCACTGAGCAACACTGGCTGGGCCTGAAGATACACTTTTTACTTCAAAATAACAGCATATCTGGTTAAGGTAGAAAAAAAAAACCTTAAAAATTATGTTTTCATGAGGAAAAATGTACAATATAAGATCCCCGCCATTAAGGGGTCCATGAAATGGGGGTTGGCTTTCAAATGAACGGTGGTGAGAAGCAATGTGCGGGATGCGAATGTTTTCATCTTCATGCGCGTCTGTGTCTCCAGCATCTGTGGGATCCAGCATCTGGAGCGGATCGGGAAGAAGCTCAACCTCTTCGACTCCCTTTACTTCTGCATCGTGACCTTCTCGACCGTGGGCTTTGGGGATGTTACTCCTGAAACCTGGTCCTCCAAGCTCTTTGTCGTGGCTATGATCTGTGTGGCCCTCGTGGTCCTCCCCATACAGGTAAATGTCACCATGAGGGATTTTGTAGAAGTGTGTGAAGTCTTATAAAGCCAAGTCTTTATTAATCTAATATATTGATGCATCTCTTATTATCTGTAGCAAATTAACTAAATCTGGCTCAGAACAGCCTTTTGACATTAAGTTAGAAACGGAGGGTTCCCCCCCTTCATGCACAACTCAGAGCTCACATCTCATTTCAGTTCTTCAAGATGTTCCTTTTATGTACAGGGCACTTATCTGCATTAATGACAGTTAATGATGACACAGTTTTTAATCACAGAATGAGAGATCAAGAAAGCACACTTGTGAAGGGTTGGTTTCTCTTGTTTCTCGAAATCATCTAAAAGCCAAACATCATAAGGAATAAAAATTGATTACATATGCAGAGCGCCCCCCCAAATGTATACACACTTTGAATAATTATTCATTCCAATGGGTTAGATCTGAAAAGAAAAAAAACATCAATTCAGCTATCAGCTGTTAAAGTGTGTATACATTTCTGGGGGACTCCCTGATTTGGCAACTAAAATAAAACCTGAAGAGGATGTATAACTATTATGCAGCATTTTGAGGACTGGATAAGGTTCTTGCAAAGGGACAGAGATATATAAAAGGAGACATCAGATAAATAGATACAATCTCTTACTCTTTCCTACAATGAGCTTTGGGTGGGCGGGTTAGAAACAGGAAGTGAGAAACACACGTTGAACTTGAACATTCCATTACAAACCTTGGCCACGTGTCTCTACTAGTAAATATACTTTAGGTAGATCCAGAAATGACCTTCCCACTCCTCTCCAATCACGCTGGCCTTCCTTCCTGATGTCCCTCCCAATACCCTCCACTTCCCCTACATGCCAGCTACTATCCAACTGTGGCCTCCTGTGTTGTGTGGTTAGGGTATCCCATTGCATGAGATACGGGGTGAACTTGACAGAGAATGTGGAGGAAATGCCAATGAGACTTTTCCCTTAGACTCAGGCCATGACAGGCATGTGCTGAGTCATGCTCTATTAGACATAACCAGAGGCACTCACCTCCTAACACCCTGTGGCGATTAGCCTCCTCGGTAGCAATCGTATGACAAGTGTGTTGTTGGAGGGAACACATAATTGGGATCTGGATGAGTTCCATCGAAGAAACGGAGGACACCTAACGGACATGGGCGGGCTGCACGAGTTTCCCTTTCACGCCCTGTGTTTTTCCTTCATATGTGGACAACGCGCTCCAGTTTGAACAGCTGGCCTACTTGTGGATGGAGAGGCAGAAGTCGGGTGGGAACTACAGTCGACACAGAGCTCAAACGGAAAAGCATGTTGTCCTGTGTGTCAGCTCACTGAAGATCGACCTGCTCATGGACTTTTTAAACGAGTTCTACGCCCACCCGAGACTGCAGGTACCTTTCAGTTCTATTGTGCATGATGCTGGATCCTACCCACTAACAGATTGTCAACGTCAATCGACGGATGGTGCATCCTGCCTTCCGGGGGACTTGTGTTAGGCACTCAGATTTAGAAAGTGTAAAGGAAGGACTACAAATATAACCAGGAACACAGGAAAAGATGTGGAAGGAATACACGATATTTTAGTTTGCTTCTGCATCTACACTAACAGATGGGATTATGTTAGTGCTACAAGGAAAGGTGTTCTTTGAACTAGCCTGATTGATATTTTTCTTCCTTGGATAGTGCATAAGTGATATTTTTATGGAACAGTGAAATAAAACAATGAACAAATCATTTCAATGCCATCTGCTCACTTGAACCTGTCAGTTTCATCAAGTGTTGCTGATGGAAACATGGAACACTAGAAGTTCTGATTTCTCTTTTGTTTCCTGGAGTGTAACTAGGTCCTATTCATAGTAGCAAAAAGTGACCAAAAATCAGACAATAACTCGTTGAATTAAGAACATGACATCAGAAAAACCTCTTCATTTGTCTATGCAGATAAAACGCTCAGATACTTCTTCTTGGCACAGTACTGGGCCAATGTCAAAGGTGGTAACCTCTGCTGCTTAAAGATTTAGTTCCATCTAAACAGCAAAGAACTACCTGAATGTCTTGTTTCCCTTCAGTAAATTTGTGTCAAAAGGTTGGACCGTTCTGAGATCCAAACAGTACTGAGTATATCTAACTACCTCTCCCTGCAATAAAGATTTTTTCATGAATAATTGTACTTTTGAAATACAATTTTTATATATAAAAATCTTATTGATAGGTGATACCTAATTTATACAATACCTTTTGTTTTTATATAAATTAATTTGAATATTTGGGAGAAACTCCCTATTTGTTGGTTTTTTAATTTTCATATTAAATAATTTCAGGTTTGCTCATTATAACCTATAAAGAAAATCTATTTGGGGGGAAATTCGGATCCCTGGTAATTTATTGATATTACCCTAATATCAATACGGAGAATTCTTAAAACTCTAAAAAATTTTACTAGATATATTTTAGAGTGATAAAATGATGACTGTTTCCCAGAGAAATGTAACCCCTATAGAGCAGTTGTTTGAAGCCATTTCATCATGAATAGTACCTTTATATTTTCTCCAAAGGACTACTATTTTGAAATATTTTGATCTCAAACACGTTAATTACTTTGTCAGTATTATCAGTATTCTTACAAATCTTTAGCCATTCAACTATCAGAAATTTGTCAATATCATCAGTTCACAACAGTACCAAACGATAGAAATCACCATCACAGCTTTTATCCTGAAAGTAAATATTTGAAGTCTGAATGGACACTACCCACTTCGCCTGACATGCTATGTATTACTGTAGAATCAGCCTAAAACGGAAAACTTCAGAGGCTGGAAATGTGTGCTGCGTATAAGTATCTTTTCTTCCTGGTGCTAGTAAGACTGAAAATGATCAGGAGAAATGCGTTGATTTATGAGATTTATACGTCGGAGCTGTTTATTTTAGTCCTGTGTGATTTGGCACATGCCCCGGCGTTAAGATGCAAGCTTTCATTTATGAGCTAGAGCGCACTCCCTGTTGATCATCTTCCGGGATATTCTGTGCTCTTAGACATTCCGTGTGCCTGTGCGGTATAACCAAGGGCATTGTTGCTTCTACCCCATCGCCCTCGCTGTCCTGAACAGGATTATTACGTGGTGATTCTGTGCCCCACGGAAATGGACGTGCAAGTCCGGAGGGTGCTGCAGATCCCCATGTGGTCGCAGAGAGTCATCTACCTTCAAGGCTCCGCCCTGAAAGACCAGGATCTGCTGAGAGCAAAGTAGGTAGCCCTCCCTCCCTATCATTTTCCACCTGCGGGGCTTGGTATTTCTCTCCTCCAGTTTCTAGCCATGTTCAGTGTTGCAAGATAAGTTTCAGTATCTTTGAAGACACAGTTTTGCCTTAGTCCCGCCGCTGGTCAAATGCAAAGCTAAAAAATACAAAATTAATGTGTTTGCTCCTGTTTTTCGGGGCAAAGATGGTCAGCAGACTATCCACACAGCACAATGAGTGTGGCGTGGTTGATGGTATCAGGTGTCAGGGATGGGCTGGTGTCCAGACTCATCCTTATACTAATCTCCAAAGCCCTGACACGGTGTTTATTCTGTGAGGAAAAATCTTGGGCTAAATATTAGGTGACATGTCAGTTCAAGTCAACGTTTAATTTTTAAAGCATTTGCATTACGAACCGGGCGGAGGAGGACAGTGAAGGAGCCAGAGGAGATTCCTAGCAGAGGTGGCTCTGTTGATGTTTTCTGTTGCTTTTAAAGTTTTAAATACATCCTCCTGCTCATCCTGGAGTTGTAAGGATGTATTTAACAAAACCAGTTCTTACCAGAGGCGAATTCATGTGGATAGGAGTTAAGGTCTTACAACACCTTATCAATGTTATAACAAAATGGCATGGAACAAAATCAGGTTATTCAAGGACATGCTGTATATGGAAAAATATATAATTACTAGAGGCCTGATGCACGAAATTCGTGCAAGAGTAGGCCTTCGTGGCCCTGGCTGCCTCGTACCCCATGGCCCCGCCCCTGCCCACTGGTTATTCTGGAAGGTTGTTCTGCTGTCCGGTCTAATTAGCATATTAGCTTTTTATTATATAGGATTTCAGAGAATAAAATGTGACTTTTCTTATTACGTCTCTCATTATAAACTGGTGAGTCATAGAGCCAATTCCATAGTTATTTTATTCACCATCAAATACAGTCATGATCTTGAAACCCAGCTTTCACTGAGGGATGCTCAGAGTTTTTTCATTTTGTTTGTGTGCATTGGAGAAAACATCGACATTCTACTTTTCAGACGATAAATAAATGGCTATTCAGTGTGTGGTCATTTCGCTTTTCTGTCTGCTTTCAGGATGGATGATGCGGAGGCCTGCTTCATTCTGAGCAGCCGCTGTGAGGTGGACAGGACATCCTCTGTAAGTTTCTACAATCTCTGCCAGTCATTTTTTCTTTTCACCTTAGAAGACTTTCTAAAAATTGGATTATTTTTTAGCTGCCAGCACTAAATCCTAGTGACATCACAATGTCCCTAAAAAAGAAGAAAATACCTCAAAACTATCTTTACTACTATATAAGTTTAGCTGGATCATTACCAGTGTCAACAAAAGTCTTTTGAATTTGTTTATACTAATACTTGGGTTTTCTGTTGATCAGAATGAAATGCATCATATATTCACAAACTAGACCATTTTTGCATGACCTATTCCCAGTGATCAATCCTATATGCTGCTTCCCACCCCACCCCCCAAAACTTTCAAAGTCAGCTGTATATTACAGTATCTGTTACCAGTCATGACATCTTTTTGATAACTAGTTATTGGACACTTGCTAATTGCACTAACTATTCTATCCTATGTTGATCTATTTATTGACACATTCAGATAAAGTTTACACATCTTATTTCATTTAGCTTCAAATATACATGAGATTCATTGATATAATTCTTTTTAAAAAAATATATTTTAATTGATGTTAGAGAGGAAGGGAGAGAGAGAGATAGAAACATCAATGATGAGAGAGAATCATGGATCAGCTGAATAGAGCCCACAACCTGGGCTTGTGCCCTTGACTGGAATCGAACCAGGGACCCTTCAGTCCGAAGGCCGACCCTCTATCCACTGAGCCAAACCAGCTAGGGCTGATATAATTCTCTGTATCTTTCTTAGACCTGAGCATTCAGCAACACGCCACTAGACAGCTCCCCAGTGGTCCCATTCACACCAGATTAAAGTCGTTCGCCATCTCAACCACAGCCTGGCTGATTTTTGCAGGCTTTGCCTACAAGGTTATGAAGGCCACTAGACCAGTGGTTGGCAAACTCATTAGTCAACAGAGCCAAATATCAACAGTACAACGATTGAAATTTCTTTTGAGAGCCAGATTTTTCAAACTTAAACTCTATAGGTAGGTACATTGTTATTAACTTAATTAGGGTCCTCCTCAGGCTTAGGAAGAGCCACACTCAAGGGGCCAAAGAGCCGCATGTGGCTCGCGAGCCGCGGTTTGCCGACCACGGCCCTAGACGATAGGAATTTTCCCGCTCGGTTACAGCCTGCTGGGACCACCGCTGTCTATGTGGCCATCACTGGCAGGGGGCTGCGTTATACATTCCCCGACGTGTTTCATGCCGCTGCGATGTTCATCTTTTCAGGACCACCAGACGATCTTGAGAGCGTGGGCTGTAAAGGACTTTGCTCCCAACTGCCCTTTGTATGTCCAGATTCTGAAGCCCGAGAATAAATTCCACATCAAATTCGCCGGTAAGTTGAGTCTCGAAGGAGACGCCCTGAGTGCTCTCAGACTCCCACTGTGATGGTGAGGGGAGGAGCCTGGAGGTCGTGGAAACCTGTGATGTTCGTGTCTCTACAGGACACAGGGTTTCCTTTCGTCAGCATCTGCTGTACAAGAGAATGTCTTCACTTGTAACGGTGACAAGATAATGTGTTGGGGCGAGGCTTTACTTGGTTATATAACTTGGTGATTTTAGCAGCTGAAGTTTCTGGATCCTTATTATGCCTGAAGAGAGGAGCAGTGATAGTTTGTGCTTAATATAGACACAGGCTCCACATGTTCTATCTGTTCATTTATACTTACGTTCACCCTCGCTATAGGTTACTTAATACACATATAAATTTGCCATGTAATTTGGGGGAAGATTTCAAAAACAGTTCTAGAGAGAGACACAAGAGGTTTTTTTTATGGAGTCACTGTTTTTAAAATAATTATTCTCATGAGATTATATTTTGTTAGGAACTTAAATAGTAAAATGGTACTTTATCTTTTTCTTCAATGCTTCTTTAGGAACTCATTTTGATCAAGGCAATAATATACATTCTTTTTCTTTTTCATTCTTATATTAGTTATTTTTTTATTTTCTTTTTAAAAATTTACTGAACTTATTGGGGTGACATTGGTTAATAAAATCATATAGGTTTCAGGGGTGCAGTTCTATAACACATCATCTGTATACTGTGTGCTCACCACCCAAAGTCAGGTCTCCTTCCATCACCATTTACCTCCCCTTTACCCTCTTCTACCCCTCCCACCCCCTGTTCCTTGTGGTCATCACCAGCCAGTTGTCTGTCTATGAGGTTTCTTGATTTTCGTTTAATCCCTTCACCTTTTTCACCCAGCCCCCAAGCCCTCCCCTCTGACAGCTGTCAGTCTGTTCTCTGTATCCATGAGTCTGTGTAATTTGTTGGTTTTATATTATATTCCACCTGAATAGTCTAAAGCTTCAAAGCCATTAAAATGTAAATCATGTTAACTGTGGTAGCAAAATGCATCTCCTTCAGGTGCTCACATATCTTAGTAAAATGCTTACTGTATATACTATTTCCGTGAAAAATTATACACACTTTTAAATGCTCATAAGAAAGCCACGAAATTATTGCTATTGGATTTGCTCTTTTATCTTTGAGCTTTGTGACGAATGACATCATTTTTTCTAAATGCAACTTCAACCAGTGGCTCTGGACTCTGGCTGCATTTTAGTCTCTTTGGAAGGTTTTTTTAAAGTGCTAATTCAGGAGACTCGGATTTAAATGGTTAGAGTTGGTGCCAGGGTTTCTTTAAGCCTGTTTCCTAAATTGAAAATTAAAGAATAATAGCATCTCCTTTGGAGAAGATTTTGTAAGATTAAAGTAATCCATCTATTTCCTGTTACACATGCAATTAGCATTCAGGAGAACGCCAACGCTTTAGCCAAAAGACCTTTGCAACTAATGCCGTGTCATTATTATGATTTGGCTAAGGGAATATTTTTGCAAATTTTTCATCATGCTGAAGATGACTTGCTATGATAAGATGTTTAGGAAGGCAGTAATGAGGTAGCACTAAATAAAGATTTGATTCTTAGCACCACCACTAAAGATTTAGCTGGGCAAATCCGTATTCTGTGACCTTCTTCCCCCCTCCTGCTAAATGGCCATAACATACATGAGGCCTCTATTTCATTGGTTGGGATTAGCAGTAAGGATGAAATAATGTCTGAAACATGTTAGGTGTTTACTAAGTGGATATTGAATTCGTTGTGATTTTAAAAATGTTATAACTAAAAATCAGAACAGACTTGAGTTTTCCCTCCTTCTTTGCAACCCATTGATCTACCTGCTCTCAACAGCGAGGTCAAAATCACTGAAATCGTTCACTCCCACAGACAGGAAATCACAGAGATTGTTTGTATTGATTCTCTTTCATATTCTCCGTTATTTTGATAAACTCATTGAAATGACGGGAATATTTAAAAATTCTATCCCAGGAGTGTATCTCAGTATTCCTTGCTTTATGGCGTCTGCTGGACTTTCCTGTATTCTTTGGTGGCGGTGGCGGAGATGAGCGGACCTCAGAGGGGCTCTTTTTATATTATGAGAAGAGGAAAGCATCCTGTTTCCTTAAAATGCCCCTCAGAGCAGTTGAGGGTGATGCGTGAGACTCTTAATGAAAAGCCTTGAGTGAACTTAGCAAGAGAGACTGTCCTCTCCAGTTAATCAGCTGAATCTAAAAGAAGTTCATTGTTTGCCTCCTACTCGGATAAAATTACTCAAAAATCAGTGGTAGCTGAATCTATATTTTGGGAGTAAATTAATTGCTAAATTTAGGTTGTCTCTTCTCAGCACCCCCTCCTCAGGTAAAGTGTCCTGTCATCTGTGAATATTCACTTATCTTTTTATCAACACATTTCTTTCCACTAGTGTGTCCTCTGAAAAGCTCCCATTTCATTTGAACAGATGGAAGCAGATGTGAAAATCAAATTGGTACATGTGTCTCCACAAGCAGGAGGAAAGAATGTAAAAACCAAGTTGCAAAGGAGTGGACATTTTCCATGGAATTTATTTTCCATGCTTTGATTCTAGTATTTCATAGGCAACAGAATGTGAATTATAGTTCATGAATGAAGAGAAGAATAGTAGCATGTTGACTGTGATATTTCCGATTTCTTGACTAAAACATGCCCGGAAGAATGAATCATTATTGTAGAATAGTAGGAGTTAGTTTGGGAAATTAAAAAAAAAATCAGTTGCAATAAAGTAAAAAGGAGAGGCAGAAGTAAATACTTTTTAACGTTAGTCACTGGCAATATTGTATAAAGATTTATCTGATAGTGAGTAGTCATCATTACCATTATAAAAACAGCATTGTCTAAAACCCACATACATATACACATGTGTGCGCGTGCGCACACACACACACATATCCTGGAGAATTGATTTGCTGGAAAATGAAGATCTTGTCTCAGTTTAGCCACCGTCTATTTTGTACTATAACACCACACATTCTAATGCCTCACTTTTTTCCTGCCCAAGAAAGAGTGGAAAAATATTTCCAAGCGATATAAATATTGGAAGTGATCTTAGCTGTTTCTAAATAACATATGTGTGTGCAAGGCTTGACTTTCACCAAATGGTGAGGTGCGAGTTTTTCCTGCTGCATGATTTCTTCATTTCCCATAGAACACCCACATAGACATTTCAAACTCCATCCTCACCATTAATTCTCACTGAACATGTTAATATAACAAGAAGTGTCACTGTGCCAAGTTCATATTCAAGTCATCAAGCTATTCTGTTGCCCGGTGGCATGGCTCAGTGGTTGAGTGTCGACCTATGAACCAGGAGGTCACAGTTCGATTCCCGGTCAGGGCACATGCCTGAGTTGTGGGCTCCATCCCCAGTGTGGGGCGTGCAGGAGGCCGCCGATCCTTGATTCTCTCTCACAATTGATGTTTCTATCTGTCTCTCCCTCTCCCTTCCTCTCTGAAATCAATAAAAGATATATATTAAAATAACTAATAAATCATCAAGCTATTCTTATAATAAATCATAGGGACTGAAATGGAAGGCTCAGCACTGGCTACCTCCTCTCTCCCTCTTGAGAACATTAGCTCATCAGCTTCCAATAAGGAATGAATTCAAGGCAATTTAAGAAGTGCGAGCTCTCTGTGCACTTATGTCCCTAAAAATGCCAAGGTTCTCCTACCTCTGATTTTTTTTTAATACTCGTACACGTTCTTCACCTTTCAATGAACACATTCTTAATTATTCTTACAATCTGAGTTGAAGCATCACCTCCCTGGCGATGCCTTTCTTGTTGGCCGCAGGCCCGAAAGGCATCCTTCCGTCTGCTTCTATAGGATCTGCAGTATTTCCTGAGAACATTCAAAGCCCCTTCGAGTCAGGGACTCTAATCATTTCTATGCAGCTACATGTGTTTCGTGTGTGACTGACAAATAACAAAATTGATTTCAAGGCCAAGCTTGGCCGCCTTCCTCCCCAGCTCCCTCCCTAAGTGACGGGCGTTTGGGGAACATGGTCGTTGTGTATTTTCAGTCATCAGTTCACTTTCGTGACTGTTTGCACTGTGCGTCTGTGTGGCAGCAAGTGGGAACCTTGAAAGAGGCTTCCAGAGGGGAAACCCACTAGAATGTCACTTATTTTGATGCGCTTGGTTAATCAGCTTTGGCACTTTGTCGAGTTCTTTGTAGACAGTTTGAATTTAAACTAACAATGGATTTGGGGTAGTTATTTCTGAACATCTGATTTCTTATCTGAAAGTTGTTTAACATGATATATGCCAATGAGGTTTAATTATACAGATATGTATATATGTATATATACATATAGCCATAAATATATATAAATATATATAGTGAAGATAAATATATATAGTGAAGCTTAATAATATTTATATATACATATACATATGCACATGCATATGCATATACATATACTGGTCATTTAACATAAAAGGAAAAATATTGCTTGGTATTATTATGATGTCACTATTAAGATGATTCAATAACTATATCATTAATTCAATAACTATATCATTAACTCTCAGAATATTAATACCTACCATGAACTACTAAGGAAAGAACACTTTAGGTTAGAACCTAATAGAAATAGACTTCTGAGGGAAATTATTTTTCATAAAAGATTATGGCTGCTGTTTTTCTAAGATGTATAAAAGGAGACTAATGATATTAAAACTGTTGTTCTAGAATTCAGGGGGAAAAAATCCCCCTTTGGAGCATTTAATTAGCTTGACACATTTAAAAACATTACAGCATTAAAATAGTATAAGGAGTCAAGCGATTTGAAACACAGAAAACTGCTTCGTATCCTCAGTGTGACTGAGCTGACATAAATCTGTTGGGAGCAGGTTGCCAGCCTCTCACAGGGTTGAATCCTATATATTCAATAAGCATTCTTACAGTGAGGTCTTGTGAGACTAAATGACTTATCAAGGTTTTCTTAAGTCTATTCTGAGCCTGTTCGTGGATGGGAGGCTCCCATCTGTGAACAGGCCAGTGTCTCTGATGTATGGGCAGGTACACGCACGCGTGCCCACCCAAGCACAACACCCCCACCTTGGGGCGTTTTATTGCTGGAAGCAACAGGATCACACTAAAGCTCGATTGTTAGAGATGATCTATTTTGCTCTAAGAAAAAGAAGCAGTTTTGGTAGACAGCTGCCCTCTCAGGCTTATAAACAGAGTCTAATCAGCACACAACATCTGAGAGATTTTCTAACACCAATTGTTCAGTCGGTCTCTATAACCGAACTTTCCCCCAAGAAATAAAAACAAAAACAATCCGTTTAAAAACTGGCCCTGCTTTGCATGGCTGCTTAAAGGTTTTTTGATTTTTCTGTAAATCAACACCCAGGACAGGGCTGGTTTAGGGCACTTTCCACGGCTGCTCGCTGCCTTCCGGGGGCTGTTGCCTAGCAACTGCATGGCAGACGCTTCCAGTCCTTTAAATCACCCAGGAGCTCAGAACACGCTGTGAGGCCGACTTAAAAAAACCCCACAAAAAACCTGACTTTCTAGAATGTAATTAACAATTTTATTTTCCATAAAGCTCCAGGGACTTGGGAAAGATGTGACTCCTATCTACCTATAAGCGTGCATCCTTCATTGTCATTGCTTATCTTAAAAGCTGTTAAATGAAAAAAAATAAAAATGACAAGAAACAAGAAACCAAGAATCTCACGCAATCCTATTATTTTAAAAGTCCTCTCTCTCGTTCCTGCATGACAGTATGGACGTGGGCTGGGCAGGATCGCCCCCTCTACGGTGCCCTCACCCTCCAAGTGCCCCCAAGTCTGGCCCTTCCTGTACTTTTTATCGTTGAATTTCAATAGCCACTTGGACCCTGTCGTCTTTTGAGTTTATGACTTTAGGTCTTGAGGTCAAAGTACAATGCAGAATTAAATGTATTTCCGCATTCATTGTTACTGCTTGATATTTTAGTTGTTTGGTACAAAATCTATTCCTTATATGTTATGTAAATATTGCCAACACCTCTTAATATTTTCTTTTTAATCCTCATCTGAGGATGTTTTTTCCATTGATTTTTAAAAATATATATTTTATTGATTTTTTACAGAGAGGAAGGGAGAGGGATAGAGAGTTAAAAACATCGATGAGAGAGAAACATCGATCAGCTGCCTCTTGCACACCCCCTACTGGGGATGTGCCCGCAACCAAGGTACATGCCCTTGACCGGAATCGAACCTGGGACCCTTCAGTCTGCAGGCTGATGCTCTATCCACTGAGCCAAACCGGTCAGGGCTCCATTGATTTTTAAGAGTGGAAGGGAGGGAGGAAAGATAGAGAAACATCAATGTGAGAGAGACCCATTGATTGACCGCCTCCAACTGAGGTTCGTGCCCTTGACTGGAATCGAACCTGAGACTCTTCAGTCTGTGGGCTGACACACTATCCACTGAGCCAGACCAGCTAGGGTCCGATACCTCTTTTAATAATTACTTTCCAAGTCTTTATGCTGTGTGACTATGACTTTGCTCAGTTGATACTGTTTTTAATCAGTGCTATTTTATTTCATACAGTGGAGCTGTCAGAACTGAAGGAGACTGAACAGTCTCTGGTTTCTTGTCCAGGCTTACCGTTACAGATGAGGCAGAGGAAAATGAAATACTTTGCCAAAGGCTTTAACAGCAATTATTCTGTCAGATGAGGCAGAGGAAAATGAAATACTTTGCCAAAGGCTTTAACAGCAATTATTCTGTTAAAGACAGAACTGTGGTGAGACACCTCCCCTTCCCTCTCAATCACTAACTCATAGTCTAGTACTCTCTTTTCAAAAAATTTTATTTTTCACTTACGGTTTACATTCAACATTATTTTTGTACTAGAGGCCCGATGCACACAAATTTGTGCAGGAGTAGGCCTTCCTTCCCCCAGCTGCCGACACCGGCTTCCCTCTGGCACCGGGGACCTGGGCTTCCCTCATAGCCCCGGCTTCGTCCGGAAGGATGTCCGGAAGGACGTCCGGTCTAATTAGTATATTACGCTTTTATTATTATAGATTAGTTTCAAGGTAATACAGCACAGTAGTTAGACAATCATATACTTTGCAAAGTTGGCCCCTTGATATTTCCAGTCCCCACCCAGAACCACACATAGTTATCACAATATTATTGACTCTGTTCCCTAGGCTGTAGTACTTTCTCTTAAGAAACATTTTTCCTGGGAATAAAATTACACAGGTAAAAAAAAAAAAAATCTCGAAACGTGTGTTTTTTTTATGGAAACTTTTGTAATTTAATTCATTGTTTTACTTTTTATATTATTTTAAAATATTACCACCCCAAGGTAAATTATTCTAATTTACCTATTTTATTTCAAACAGATCATGTTGTTTGTGAAGAAGAGTTTAAATACGCCATGTTAGCTTTAAACTGTATATGCCCAGCAACATCTACACTTATCACACTACTGGTTCATACCTCTAGAGGGCAGTAAGTATATTTTTTCTTTAAGATAATGCATTTTAAATTATATTAAAAAAATAAGTGCAGTTATGTGATTTAGAAATATAGCTAGCCAAGGTATACAGCTAGATATGTACCGATATTGTATTTGTCAGATCATGTTGTTTGTGAAGACAGATGGATAGACAGACAGTTAGCTTTAAACTGTATATGCCCAGCAACATCTACACTTATCACACTACTGGTTCATACCTCTAGAGGGCAGTAAGTATATTTTTTCTTTAAGATAATGCATTTTAAATTATATTAAAAAAATAAGTGCAGTTATGTGATTTAGAAATATAGCTAGCCAAGGTATACAGCTAGATATGTACCGATATTGTATTTGTGTGTTATCTTCGTCTGATGGAGAGACAGATGGATAGACAGACAGACAAATATAGACCCGTTAAGGGGTCCAAGACATACAAGAAATTGACAGTGATTGGCTGTCTCTTCTAACGAATCTTGAGATCATCTGTTTCATCCTAAATCCTAAGTGTCTACATCATTTGTTACACCTAGGATTAGGGCATGGTTTCTAATTTCGAGATGAATACTTAACAAATAAAACATTAAAGAACAAGATGATGACAATCACTAGTGTAAAACCTTAAAGCCATATTTTTCTATGTGAGATAAGTTTTTAGTCTTGAAGTTATCTTTACACAATTGACCTCTAAATAAAAATATTCAATGAGTATAGAATGATGACAAAGTAGTAGAGAAGATTAGCTAACATAGTATAAAAGAAAGCACTTTTCATATGCATTTCCAGGTAGATGGGAAAACGTTGTATTGGACCACGCTGTTCTCATTTACTTGGATAGAGTTTTGTAAAACACAGAGACTGTTTTTGACTTGGGTGATCAAGAAATACGTATTCGGGGAATACAGTCACCACTCTGACTTAAGGAGACAAATGCCCCACTGCATCTCATACCATTTCATAGTCTTTACTTGGGATTTTAGAGAAAAATTTGATTTTCTAAGTAAATCTCACTGTAGTCTCTTGTGGTTATGATGATTGAAATTAAGCTAATTGATAGCTATTTAAGTCAAGTGCCCATTAAAATAACTCAAGGAAAAGGAAAATTCTTTCTTGGGATATAATACTAGATGGTGTGAATTAAGTGAAAAACAGTATAAGTGAAGAATACCCTACGGTATTCTTCAGCAAGTTTTACTCTTTTTTGAATCAGGTATCTGCTCTATTGAGACGGTAGGAGTTTCCCAGAAACAATTTTATTAGAGTTTGGAATCAAAATATTTTAACCTGTACAGTTACAAGCCTTTCATCTATTGATGGAAAGGATGGAACAGGGTCATGAATGAAATTATTTTTGTTGACGAAAGTACTCAGCAGTGTGAAGAAATAAAATAAAATTCTGGAAACTACTTTAACACCAATTAAGTGAACATTCATGGAACTCATCACATGGATTCATTATTTTGCCATACCATCTTTGTCACAGAATCATACGACTTCCAAGCAAATATCTAGACCAGCTTCATTGTGTTGCAAACAATAAAATGAGAGCCATCTACACTAACACATTATTATTCCGAGACTGGTTAAACTACACTGTCTTACCCGTAAATATTTATTGTCACACAATATTGTCTGGTAAACATATTGCATCTGACACTAAGTTAAAAAAGAATCCTAGTAACCCTTAAAATAGGACTTCCCATTATACCCTAATGAATTTTGCCTCATTAAAATAATATTGAAGACATCATTATCACATAACTAAGGATTTCCCATGATTAAGATTGACCTGCAAAATCTTAAAATACATCAATAATTTTAAAAAACCCACTTATTTTACAACTAAGTCTAATAGAAATGCTATAGTTTACCAGAATAACTTTCTTTATAGAAGCTTTATTGAGATAGACTTCACACATGCTACAATTCACCCATTTAAGGTCTACAATCCAGTGGTGTTTTAGTAGTCATAGAACTGTGCAGCCATCACCACTGTCTAACTCTTGAATAATTTCATCACCCCATAAAGAAGCCCTCTACGTTTTAGCAGCCTCTACATTTTCTCCCAACTCTTACTAATTTACTCTGTCTCTGTAGATTTTCCTATTTTAGACACTGCATATTGCCTATAGATGGAATAATATAATGTGTGTGTGTGTTGTCCAGCTTCTTTCACTTGGCATAATGTTTTCAAGGTATGTTAATATTGTAATATTGTACTAATTTTTCCTTTTTATGACTAAATAATATTCCATTATATGAATAGGTCCCCTTTTATTTTTTTTATCCATCAGAGGATGGATATTTGAGTTGTTATTAGCATTGTAAATAAGGCTGCTCTTAACATTCATGCAAACATTTTCATGTGGACATATGCTTTCATTGCTTTTGGGTCTATCTTAGGAGTGGGACTGATGGGACATGTGGTAACTCTGTTTAGTCTTTTTGGGGAACTGCCAGAATTTTTCCCAAAGAGATTGTAACATTATGTATCCTCACCAGCAGTGTATAAAGGTTTCAAGCTCTTCACACCCTCAGGAACACTTGTTATTATCCAACTTTTTTTTATCATAACCATCCAGTGGAGGAAATGTAGTGTCTCCCTGTGCTTTTGATTTGCATTTCATTGATGGCTAATAACATTGAGCATCTTTTCATGTGTTTCTTGGCCATTTGTTTATCTTGTTTGTAGTAAAACCTATTCAGGTCCTTTGGTCATTTTTTAATTGGGTTATTTGTCTTTAATTATTGAGTATAAGAGTGTTAATCTCCTTTTTACATATTTAAGATACAAGTACCTTATCAGATATATACCATCAGTATATAAATAGTCCACCCAACAGAAAAGCACTTAATTCAACATGTTTAATGTATTTATTAAGAATATTGTTTGACTAAAGTAATTTATATCAAGTCTTCTATATTTTGCTTCAATTGAAGATATAGTTGAGATTTATTTATTAAGAGAATATGTTTGAAATTTTGCCCTTGAGCCTCAGTAGAAAGTAGAAAGCTCCAAGGTTGATTTAATAATAAGAGAACTGGCAAGCTGAATTAAATAGTTCAGTGGGGGAAAATGTTGACAACTCTACGAAATGCTTTATGCAAGGATTATCAAACCTTTAATTGAAAACAAAGCTTACAACAATACTCAAATTTCTCCATTAAAAAGGAGAATAATATTATTAAAACTTTATCCTCTAACAAATGGTGACTTTGAATAAAAATAGTTGAGAGCCACAAGCAACTGTGTACTCTATTAGTTGATATAATGTGAAAAAAAAGAAACTAAGATTTTAGGATCCAACACACATAGAAATAAATATAATACTAAACCTAAAATGGTGTAATTAAAAATATATTTTTAAAATAAAGTGCTATGCAGATTGTAATATTTCAAGAAAATCCTAAGTGTGAGTTCTGAGACAACTGAGATGGGTAAAGCAATCAGGAGCTGGAGACCAAAGGGCCAGATGTTTTAGAGAGAGACCCGTCTCAGGCCAGAGGAAGAATGGGATTCCCGATTCCGAGCTAGAATTAGACTCACCCACTCAACCACCCTCCTCCTCTCCTCACTTCTCTTCTTCTAGCCAGTGGGAATGTGGGCACGGATGGAAACCCCACATTAAGGATGAAGTGCCTACCTCTGGGTTTTCATGCAAGAGAGATATTTATTTAAAATATATTTTATTGATTTTTTGCAGAGAGGAAGGGAGAGGGATAGAGAGCTAGAAACATTGATGAGAGAGAAACATCGATCAGCTGCCTCCTGCACGCCCCCCACTGGGGATGTGCCCGCAACCAAGGTACATGCCCCTGACCAGAATCGAGCCCGGGACCCTTGAGTCTGCAGGCCGACGCTCTATCCACTGAGCCAAACCGGCCAGGCAAGAGAGATATTAATGTTAAAAAATTGTATCTTGTATTTTGAAGTCTCTACAACAATTTAGCCGGTACCCTGGCTACTACTGGTTAGCACTCTGCTGACCTTCCATTTCCTTTTCCTGTTATGAATATATTCATCCTAGTTCTAGTGGGTCTATGAGTCACAAAGCGACTCTGAGCTGGTTTCAAGTAGCTGTGCTCCCTGACGCACTGAGACGTTAGCCTGTATGTAGCACTTGCCGGTTCCCTCACTTACTTGATGGCATGTGAGGGTGCTCCATGCTCTTGGCAGTGGTCTTTCTTGTTGCTAATAAGTCAGCATTTTGATTTATTGGGCAATCCTGTTAGGAAGAGGAACATAAGTTTATTGTTTGGACACAAATTACTGTAGGATGGTGAACATGGACCATGATTTTCGGGCAAGGGGGTGCCTAGCTATCAGGCCGGTTAATAGACACGAAACTGTCCCACCTTGATGGAGTTTCATCCTAAGGAAAATTTAATTTTATTTTGCTTTTAGTTAGTCTCATATTTTTTTCATTAGTCCCACCTGAGAGGTGATATTTTTTGGTCACAGTGATAATTAATGGGGGGAAAAAAGGGAGAATTGATAAGAAAAATATTGCCAAGGCACAATTTATAGAACTTGACCACTGACTGCATATGAATGGGGGAAAGAGGAAAAAACCCACACAAATATCTTCTCCCTGAGTCTGGACAGTAGGGATTTAACTATAAAACATGTGGTTTGCCGGGAAAGGGAGTGAGGCCGTGGAAATATCTGCTCTCTAATGCAGATGTAAGTGACAGTGGCCTTGCTGCTATTCTCAGCTCCTGGCGATGAATGAGAGCATTCAGGTCACCATGGAGGCGACAGGACATATACTGGGATTTAGAAGAAATGACAACTGAACACGTTTCCCTGGGAGAGTGTTACTTTCAGGAAACAGAGGGAAGAAAAGGAAAGCGAACACAGCGCAGCACAATGGGGTATAAAGGTGTAAGGGTTTGTGAGGAGACACGGGGAGCTAACAAGATAGACGGCTTGAAGCTGAAGGAACCGGGGCACACAGTTAGTAGGTCACTGGTCCCCGGGGGGTTCAGAGAAGACAAGTGTGACGATGGAGGCTTCCTCATTTTGAGGAAGGATGAACAAAAGCAGAGATGCCCGGAAAGTGAGCCGGGGTGGAGACTACCACCTCCTTAGGTTTGTCCACGAACATAAGAATAATAGCCCGGCCGTTTGGCTCGGTGGATAGAGCATCGGCCTGTGGACTGAAGGGTCTGTGGTTCAATTCTGGTCAAGGGTACATGCCCGGGTTGCGGGCTCGATCCCCAGTAGGGGGCCTGCAGGAGGCAGCCGATCATGATTGTCATCATTGATGTTTCTCTCTCTCTCTCTCCCTCTCTGAAATCAATTAAAAAAAAAAAAAAGCGAATGCTCTATTGGACCGAAATGTCAAGGAAAGCTGCCTGTGTATGCTTTCATGTGTGAGAGCTTAGGGGGTGGGACCAGAGACTTACAACATTGCTGTAAATTACCCCCTTTGCAACCCATTCCTTTCTATGGAATACACGACCCCCCCACCTCCCTTCGCTCACTGCATTTTCCATCTCTTTCTCTTTACTGACACTTACCCTGCACATTAAACTTTAAAAACAAACAAAAATAAATAGATAAATACAGACAGGCACACGTGAAAGCTGTATCAAGTCTTGTCCGTTGTTGTCAAAGTAATCGGTGTCTTTAAAACATAGACCAGTGGTTCTCAACCTTCTGGCCCTTTAAATACAGTTCCTCATGTTGTGACCCAACCAGAAAATTATTTTCGTTGCTACTTCATCACTGTCATGTTGCTACTGTGATGAATCGTCATGGAAATATCTGATATGCAGGATGGTCTTAGGCGGCCGCTGTGAAAGGGTCGTTCCACCACCAAAGGGGTCGCGACCCACAGGTTGAGAACCGCTGACATAGACTCATACCTCCATTCCTGGGTTGTTCCCTTCGCTTGGGAAATGCTGTCATTCTCCAACCAAATGCTCAGTGTCTGTAAAATGATGGGGACGGACTTGTTTAACTGTCTCTCATGAGCATTATGCTTGTGTGCACTTACACGTAAGTGAAATGTAGGCTTTCTGAAATCACTGTTTCTCCAGAGATTACTTAACGGTTTTGTGAAATCTGCAACCCCAGTAGAAACATATTAAGTGAAAATGCGGTGTAATTAATTGGTGTGTGTGCTGGAGAAATACTGGGTCTGTGTTTTCCTGCCATTGCTGCATTTGTGTTCCAGGGCAGAATTGATAGTGCTTTGAGATGGGTAGTATTTTTCCAGAAAAATAAAATTACATACTCCAGTAAGATTGGGAAATGCTAGTTAAACATGATGTTTTTAATGGCTTGGGTTATTTTTCTTTCCTTTGTTTGTTTACTTTTTTAGTTGAACTAGTTTCAGACTTAGAGAAAAGTTACAAACAAAAAAGAACAAGGAGTTCACAGATACCCTTCCCATATAAACGCCCGAACGTTCACATCTTATTTGCATAATCGCAGCGTACTGATCCCAATGAGGAATTGATATTGATCCAGTGATCGGCCATATTAGAATTTTATCTGTTTTCTCATTCATTTCCTTTTTAGTCCAGGATTCTCCCAAGGTCTCTCCTCAGGGAGCCTCCATGCTGGTGTCTCTTTCTGTGTCTAAATTCCTCTTGGGAAGCTGGTCAGGTTAGATGAGGGCTCCCCAAGCACTTCCCATCACCTCATCACCCCTTGAAGGGCCCTGTCTCCAGACAGGGTCACCTCAGAGGTCCTGGGGGTTGAGACTGCAACCTAGGAATTTGGGGGGGATGGGCTCTGCCTGTAACAGCTGTGGAGGACGGGACACCAGGTTTTACGGGGTCACATCTACGGGTTTTTATTGCTCCCAATGCCAATAGTTCAGCTGACCCACAGAAGCCTGCTTCTTTGATCATGGAAAGTAGAAAAGATGGGTTGTCCCTCTACCCCTGGTGGTCCTTTCTCCATCCGCCCCCCCCCCCACCCCGCCCCAAGACAACACAAGACAAAACACGCCTTCAACGCTGGAGGCCTGAATGGGGATAATCAAGAGAAAAGGAAAAATTTACCTCTGAAAGTCACTCTCATTATCATTATTTCTTTTAAAAGATGTTTTTATTCATTTCAGAGAGAGGAAGGGAGAGAGAGATAGAAACATTAATGATGAGAGAGAATCATGGATCGGCTGCTTCCTGAATGCCCCATGCTGGGGATGGAGCCCGCAACCCGGGCATGTGCCCTGACCAGGAATCAAACCCTCACCTCCTGGTTCATAGGTCAATGCTCAACCACTGAGCCCCACCAGCTGGGCTTATTATTTCTCTTTTACATAAGCTAACAGGCACTGAAAGTCTGCACGGAAAGCCATTTTATGACGTGCATCCGCAATCCATCTGACTACCTGGGAAATGGTTTTCTAAGCACACCTGTTAATGAACAGCTGGAACGGTATCCTTGTTTCTGAGAATATTTTGAGAAATCCGGGTGCCACTCTAGTGTGGCCGCCCCTCTGCTTGGAAAGCCCCTACCAGCTCACCCTCCTTATCAAAGGAGACTGAAATAGGAGGGTTTTCTTAAGGCCTCTGTGCTCTCCTGCTCATCTGCTTTATGTCCTTTCCTCCCGACTCTCTCATATATGCAGCCTGTTCTTCAAACAAGATCCTGAAGAGACTTTGTGGGTTCCGCCTCCTCCATCTTTTTATAAAGTCGTCCCTTTGCCTCGAATTCCTTTCTTCTGCTCTCGAGAGAGCTAAACCCCAATTCCATCTC